GCTGCGCTGCGTGCTCATCGCGCGTGATGCATGCTGCAGCGCATCCTATGCGTGATGGTACCCAAAACTGCGTGATCGCGCAAAGCCGCGGTAAGGTGGTGCGGCAGAAGGCGCACGCAAGAAACAACGCGCGCTGCCTCGCCTGTATGCAGTTTGACGGACGATGCTGATGCACGCATCGCTGATGCTGCTCTGCTGCTATACTCCCCCTGATGACCATGATACATGTTTGATGTCTGCTCATTTTCGGACGCACGCTGCACTCTGACTGGATGGGCTGCAGCAGCGCACGGTCCTGCCTGCGCTCATCCACGCATACAGCCTCACATATCCCGCCCAGAGAAGCGTCCACCTATAAATACGCATCACAGCCTCTCGACCACAGTCTCCTCCTCCACTCGCGATTCATATGACTCGTGACCCTTTTGATTCACATTCGAATTCTTGATCTGCGAGCTTGAATCTTGAATCGTGAATCTACGAGCACGTGATGCCCGTTGTGGGGCCTAGATTCCAGATTCTTGATCCGATCAGTGTGAGTGCTGGCTTTAGTCTTGACAGCATCAAGGGCAAGCCTTCAAGCGAGTCGCTCAAAGTCATTCGTCGATGTGGGCGTCGATGTGTATGAAGAAAGAATTGCCCCGACACACCGCTCGAAAGGTCAGGAAAGTCATGACTCTATATTCGCATGACTTCGAACCACAAGCTGCGTCAAGGTCTGGGTCTTCGAGCAGGTTCGAACCACGTATCTCTGTATAGGTCGTGATTGGATCGAGTCGCGTCAGCCACAACCACCTCGACCGTGGTTCGTGGGTGAAGCATCATGCGCGCACTCACTCGGGTTTGACGACTACAGTCCTTCCCTTCTTACCATCTCGAACTGTCTCCCTCTTCTTGTCCCTACTAAGCGCTTTTCTCATATCTGCAAAGACAAGGGTTCGACATGAAAAGTAAGTGCCACTTCCACATCAGCATGCCCGTCTCTCCTCGACGATTCTCAATGGTCGACGTTACGTCCGAGTCCAGGGAGAAGTGATGGAGAAAAAAGGGGGAGCACTCTGCAACACTCACCCCATCCATTCTCGTCTGTCCCTCCTGCTCCTCCTCCAGAGTAGTATTTGTCTACAGTGCGGTACACTTCATAACCCAACTTTTCGTACATTGACACGGCGAGGCTGTTGGAAGGTCTGACGAACAAGTCTACAAAATAAGACTGCAAAAGAGGTGGCGCGTCAGTGTATTCAATTTCCCCATTCTCATTCCGATTTATGCTTCCCGCCATACTAGGTCTCCGTCCCGCACCGCACCGCATATATTCGCATTCGCGACCAAGTTCACGACTCACATTGTACACCTTTTCACTGGCATCCTCCAAAAGATTCATCAGACCCTTGGCCACTCCCAACCGTCTAAATTCGGGCGCGACAGTGATAGCGGTAACGTGACCATGCCGCTCCTTGACCCTTTCCATGCCTGTATCTCTTCCTTCCGCTTTCCCGATCACATATCCCATCATCGATCCGTGCCCTCCTTCGAGCGACGCGCCGTTCCCAGCCGCAGACTTGATACTACAAAAGCTGCCACTGCTGCTGCTGCTGCTGTACTGAGTGTAACATAGCTCGGGCCACTTGGAAATGTAGGTGAGGTAAAAAGATAGGGAATAAGTCTCTGTCCAATGATCCAGGTTAATCTGGTTGAACTTGAATAGGTCTGTTGCTCTAAAAGGCGTCAACAGAGACATATCTGGACGCCTTGTGGGACAAAGATGTGGGTATGTGCACTTGTGTTCAGTAGCTGCTGGATGACGGCGAAGAGGGCGGGACACGTGTGTGCGTACGCCGCGATGAGAGCGCCTGAAACAGCACGAAGTGAGCTGAGAGCAAGACGAATGGCGTGGCGATGATGATGATGATGATGTGGATAATTGCTTTGAAGAATGATCCAGCGGCAGTCGCGAGCACAGATCAACAGGAGATGCTGATGAGTTGACAGTAATTTGGGGGGATCGCGCGCCATATGAACAGCACAACCCACGCCATCTTGGTCGGATCGAGCCTCACGTCATGCAATCTTGAATGAGTGCAGATGCATGGGGACTGTCACGTGATGCGTCTGCCGAGCGCTGCAGTCAAGGATCGAGTGCGCACGGACAGAAGGCAGGGCTTTCGCGCGAAGCACGGCGCGGCCGGTGTAACTCCGAAGCTCGTCCGGAGCAGTCTCGCTCCTCATTCCATGAACAGCTGCAAGTCAGGGCAGACGCTCTTTCCTTGCTCACCCTCATCACATTCACATTCACATTCTGCTTCACCTCAAGCACATGCTCATATTACCACACTTGCAAGCATGCCCGAGCCCATCAAACTACGCATCGGCTACGTTCCCGAGCATTTCTCTTCTCCCTTACTCCAGCTAGGTCGTTCATCATGGGGACTTGCTCACCTAGAACTCGTCTCACAACCCAGCGGCACAGGTCAAATGCTCTCCTCCCTCTCATCTGATCAAGCCATACAGCAAGAACAGAAAATAGACGTGGCTGTTGCGCTTACCGAAAGTCTCATTGCTGCACTTGCCAAAGGAAGAGAGGATTTCAAACTTGTGGGGAGTTACGTCAAGAGCAGCTTGAACTGGTGAGTCTGGCGCTCCAGAGCGGGTTGCAGCGAGGCAGTAGAGAGCGCGGAAAGTAGGGATGGGAGCTGTCATTCTGATTGCTGGGTGCTGTGCTCGCTGCATGGAGCGCACGCAAAGTTGAGAGCGAATCATCACTCCGACTCATTACAGGGCTGTCATTACGGGTACATCGCCACATGCCGAGCGATACCAGAGCATTGAGGATCTCAAGGGAGAGAAGATTGGCATCAGCAGAGTGGGCAGCGGTAGCATGGTCATGGCCAGCGTCATGGCCCTGCTGCAGTGAGTGATGCTGAGCTCTCCCACACGACAGCGAATCTAGCCACTAATCAGCACCACCCCTTTCATCCTGCACCACTCGCAGAGGATGGACAGACGAGAATGGCAAAGCGTCAGAGGTGCAGTTCAAAGGTAAGAGTGAAGCTAGAAGAAGGAATTTGGGCTTGTATGCTGTCGAAATACAGGGCAGCTGCTGAATTGTCACGATATCACGCGCAACTTCTGCCCTTGGTGCAGTGCAAGATACGTTCGAAAACTTGCGCAGAGGCGTCAACTTCCCCCCCAAGCAAACTTCAGGTCCATCGGAGTCATCGCAGTCAGTCTCTTGTCCTCGATGCGCATGCCAAAAGCAAGCCTAGCAGAGCGCCAGAGATGTGAATCTCCTCACACTTGCATCGTCTTCTTCGCCTACAGCGCACCTGTCTCCACCGCAAGTGGACAAATCAGTGCCAAAGATTTCGCAGATTCTGCCGAATCGTACGTGTCCAAATACTCGGACGGCCCTTCTCAGCCTTCGCTAGGAGCACACGTCTTCTCGGAAGGATGGAAGTATAGTGCTGCGCCTGTTCCTCTACTTGAACGCTCTTTCGATCTGCTTGCCGATCCAGCTAGCCAGAATGAGGGGGCTCGCAGGACGGTGTTGCGCGTGCAGCAGGTCATTGCTAGGAGCTCTACTTGGGGCACACCGGTTCTTTATTTCAGAGCGAGCACAGCGGGTAAGCTCATCTCTTATTCGGTCGAATTGACGCTCGCTTTCTGACATGTATTGCACCGCTTTCTTGATGTCGCGCGACCACAGAAGGAACATTGTTGACTCTATCGGAAATCGAGAGCTCCTCTTTGCTCATTCGAAATACTGGCGAGAAGAGCAATACCACTCTGCCAATCCACACCACTTCCGCACCGACAGACTTGGACGCAGATGCTGGGACTGCACCTTCAGAGTGGGCGTCGCTGTCGCTAGGCAACCATCCAGTGACGGACGAAACATGGATCATGCTTCATCCTTGTCAAACAGCTCCTTGGATCTCCCTTTTGCGATCCAACGACTCCTCGTCACAACGTTCCAGCAGCTCGAGCGGCGTGCAGTACATCGAAGCCTTTATGAACCTATGCGCTTCGGCCGTGCAGATGAGGTCTGATCAGAGCAGACCTGGTACTGAGCGGGGCCCATCGCATCGTTCTGGGCATGGCCAATCGGCGGAGAAACCGGAAACGGCTGCTTTCATGTGGGAATGGTTCACCACGAAACCTTTCGTGGACTCTGGAGAGGTGAGTGAGAGCGCCGCTGGAAGTCAGGATGAAGAGAGATGGGTGCACGGAGGCTACTGACAGGCACGACTCTGCTGATACTGCATACTGCGCACTTGATGCTACAGGTGCGCTTCATCGGAAACGTACCGACTCCCTGGCCCAGCTGGAGCATAGCCGCATCCGTACCCACCGTTCTCTCCAACGCTTCATCGTCTCCCTCCTCCGACTCTTCAACAAGTCGCACCAAGCTGCACATCCTCAGCGACTTTCTCCATCGTCTACAAGCTCAGATCATTCAATTCACGTCGGACGAAGACGAAGCATTGCGATTCGTGCAGAACGAAATGGGCTACGAAGCATCGGATGTGAAGTTGTGGTACGAGCGTGTACGCTGGGTAGGAGATTCGCGTTCTTCGCTCGAAGAACAACATTCTGTTCCTTCGTCCAGCGTTGCTGCAAGCCAGACGCACAAGGAGGATGTGAAGACGAAGACGAAGCAGACGGGACAAGATACGTCTACCAGCACAGTCTCCAAAGAGACGCTCTTGAGCACCCTACAAACCCTCCTTCGAGCCGGCGCTATCCCGGCGCCCAGCTGCTCAGACGCAGACAATACGAACGACGCAGCCGCGTGGAATGTCAAAAGCTTCGTCTGGGCTTTACCCAGCCAGGATGTCCAGTCTGGGTTGGTCGATTGAAAGATCTCAATCATACATGTTCACAATGTTGCATCCATCCATCTTCATCGCTTGCCACGCCTCCCTGTCATCTTGTTGATCAATGAATGCCCAGTTCGTGACTTGCCGCGTCTCAGTATACAGGACGAGTCGCGTCCGCTAGCGTGTACCAGAATCATGAGCTTAGGAGACTTGCAAGCCTTTTTTTTGAAGACCGTTTTGTAAGAGTAGAGCAAGCTCTCGCATCCATTTCTTTGCAGCGAGCACACCCGTGACTTGGCGCTCGCACCATCGACGTTTGGAAAAAAAGGGATACATTTCAAGATTGAACACCACTGAGACGTGTGGGCGTGCCAAAAGACCGGCCAAAAGGTTTTGCTTGCGGCGAACCGCCGAAAGAACACGCCGAAGACTATCACAAGCAAGCTTGTTCCCTCTGCCGAAAAGACGGGCAGACTGGCAAGTGAGCCAGCAGCTCGAAGTCCAAGGCTCATCATGTCGTGGCAATTTTTTAGTAGAGCAACTGCTGCAGTAGTCAGATTTCCTCGTCTTCATCCTTAGTGATCTCAGATGGCTTGAGCATACCAGGCACAGCTGCAGCCTTCTCTCTAGCTTCTGCAGCCTCAGCAGCAGCCTTCTCCGCCTTGTCATCCTGAAAGAGATCCTGATTATCTCCCTCCGAGCCGGCCAGCTCACGCGTCGTGAGCAGAAAGTCGCGCATGAGAGAGCTGAACGAGAAAATGCCAGGGTAAGCTTGAAAGGCAAAACAGCACCAACATCGCTTTGCAAACTGACCGGAATTGAGAGTCACGACCGTTGAGGTCAGAGTGGTAGGCTTCGTGCATGTTGAGGTCGCGCAGCTCAGCCTTGCGGAAGGTCAGCGCGCGCATTGTGGGATCTTGTGAGACGCTGAGCTTCGACAAGCCTTCGAGGAACGAGTCGACATATTTGGGGTCGACGTGCGGGAAAGCAGTCTTGAGCCTGTTGAAAGCTCGTAGAACATTGTCAGCATCTGCAGACACCCCACTTGAAGGGTCCCAGTCACTTACAAATTGGAGCAGTACTGCAGCAGGTACGAGTGATTGTCCGTAACCCCTTCTGCCAATGGCACAGAGACCTTTTCGAATGCAACGGTCGCAAAGATTCGAGCCAGGAGCATGCACTGCAGTCTGAAGCCAGCTTTGTGATCTGGCTCTGTCAGAACGAAAAACACGTCTTGCACGACTGGCAAAAGGTATTGCTGGTAGAAGCCTGCACTGACTTCCGCGCTTTCCTGAGCGACATTGGCAAACAGCTCCAGCATGGTGTTGAGTCCCTGCTCGGCAACGTCGCGTTGAGCATGTTTGAAAGCCCATACGAGGGCATCGACGAAGAGCTTGAACTTGGATGGGTCCAGAGAGAGCATGGCTGGGAAGCACTGTGCATTGATGGCGCGCAGCAGCTTGAAGAAGCCAACACGATGCTCCGGGTACTCTGCAAAGTCTCGGTTGATCATGCCTAGCGTGGGCTCAAAGACTGCATCGAGTATCGGCGAGATCTTGTCGGTGAGCAGTGCACCGAGGCGAGTGGTGATAGTGGTCATGACGTTGAGCACCTCAGCCTCTCTCGCAGGCGGCACATTGTTGTGATAGTCCCCGAGAATCGCGTCCAGAAGAGAGGGGATCAGATTGACGTTCACCTGCTCCAGGTCTTCGGCGCGCTTGACGTAAGTCTCGACCAGATGCAATATGTCCTTTTTTATCGTGCGCAAGCCGCGCACCAAAGGAGTCTTTGTAGCGATGAGGCCGTCTGATTCCACCTTGGCGCTGATGACTCCGCTTACGCTTCGGTAGAGCGCGAGCATATCGAGATAGATTCTGCCGATTTGTGGTAGGAAGTAGGTGCCGATGGAGAAACAAGCCGAGACATTCGTCTTGAGGACATTCGACAGGATCTTGATGTTTTCAGAATTGTTGAGGACGTCAACATTGCTGTGTGCTTGGGACATGAGAGAGTCCCAAGCACTGTTTGGCAATTCCATCAGCTTGCTGATCAAGCGTTCCTGAGTCGGCTTGTTTGGTTGTGCAGCAATCATGTATCCGACCGCTTCGTAGAAGGTGTGGACTTGATGCGCTTGAAGATCAACAGTGATGCGGTGCAACGTACGAAGGATCTCGTCGATGAAAGGCTCCTGTTCGTCCTTTTGTTGCATAACGAAGTGTCGTCTACATTTTTGAGCGATCTTGATGAATGTGTCGCATGCCATGTCCTGCACACCCTCGTGGGTCTCGTGCATGAACTCGAAATTCTTGTTGACCACTGTCTTCAGGAATTTCCAGTGAGCTTTCAGGAAGCGTGGATATTGGCCCACTATATACATGATGTTCGAAGCGACGACCGCCTTGTTGTCTTTTCCGCGCTTCATCTCGCAGAGGCCCAGGAGATCCTTGATGACTGTGACCAGGAACCGCTTCTCTGCGTCTTCGCCTGTGGGCATAGCCAGCGATGCATCAGCAGCGGCACGCCTTCTCGCTCGCTGAGTCGAGACGACGACTCACTCATTGCACCCGAGATACTGCCGATCGCCCAACACAATGTATTGAGGTTGCCCCAGCTCCATTCGGATCCGTCTACTTGCTTGGACAGCTTTTGTGTCATGATCTCCTCCGTGTCGAGGGTGTCCAGATGCGTCAAGTAGACCAGCACCTCTCTCATGGATTTGTACAACACGATGGTATCGCTCTCTTTCATGAATTCTCGTACGATCTCTCCTTCGTCGTTCTCCACCACCAGGACCTGGAGGCGATTCGCGCATACTGTCAGCAACAGGAGCTGTCCAGAGGCTATCAAAGCAACCAAACTCACCTCTTCAGGCTTGACCATGCGTTCGATCATGACTAGACGCAAATTGCTGAGAATCTGAGCGTACGTGTGCTTCCTTAAATCGAGCGAAGCGGCAGCGCCAGAGGACCCGTTGCCCAAGCTCAGCCCAATAAGGGGATTCATTTCTGCCATGGGAAGCGTTTGCATCTCCTCGTAAAGCTGAAGCAACGTGACGCAATAGTTTTCAGTGCCGCGACACGCGCGCGTTGCCCCAGCAAACTCACAGACGCAACGAGCTTCGACCAGTACTCGAGACAGATCTTGAAAATCTCTCGTTCCGGCACTTGAGACACTTTGATCAGGTAAAGGTGCGCATTGAGAAGGACCTCGCGATTCTCCGCATTTTCCACAAGGTGCAAGCGCTCATTAAGGAAGTTGCACAGGAACAATGCCAAGTTGAGAATCAGCTCTTGGTCATCGTTTGACGAAGACTCGTACGCTTCGGCGAAGTCTGTTCAACACAGCATCCGTGTGTCAGCGAGGAGCGCAACTGGAGCAGTGAGATCTTCAGGGTTACGACTCACTCGTGCTTGGAGGGATCATGCGATTGACCGAGGTCATGACCATATTGAACAGGACGACGAACTTCTCATCGTACGAGTTAGTCTTGATCTGAAGGCCAGCGATTTCCGACAAGCACTTCAGTGTCACATTGCGATATTCTGGTACTTCAAGGAACTGTGATGCAGAAGATTGGCGTCAGTGGCAAATCGCACGTGAATTACAAGTGGCCATGGATTCCGCGTCTGCGACGAATTGGACTAGCCCAGAGGCAGCTCCTGCGTCGATAAGCGCCACTCACCCTGTTGATCAGCTGATCAATTACGTTGGTCTCAAAAATGTAACCCAAGGGAATCCAGTTCAAGAATTTGAGCATAGTTTCCAGAGTGGCTTGGATAAGGCTGGGCCTTTGAGCCTTCTCGAGGACCTCGGTGCACAATTGAAACACCTCTGCGAACTCTCCGCAGATTTGGTTCTTGAGGTTTTGGGTTTTTGTCGTGGTCATCTGCTCGGGCGAAAAGTCGAAGATCTCCTCCGACAACAAGCGTAAAATAGCCATGTTGTTCTGGCAGATGGACAGAGAGGTGCGTGACGACGAGACGATGTCGGAAATGAATGTCGGCCATTTGTGGGGCCACTCCTGCTTCAGAATTTGCACCAGCGTCACGTTCAGCTTCTTGAGATAGGTGCGCTGTGCCCTGAGCGAAGCCTCATCGGACGAAACACCAATGATCGTCTCGACGATGAAGTTGCGAATGCCTATGAGACGGGATCAGCAGCTGAGTGTCAGCAGCTCGCCCGACTGGAGTTCGCCAAAGCGATACTCACCTTGCTGCTGATCCTCGGCCAGAGCCTTCCACTTGGTCAGAATCAGTTTGTCAAGGATTTGCAAAGCGATGTACTGGGAGCAAACGTGCAAAGACCCGAGATCAGCTCAGGGAGTGTGCCAGACTACGTGAAGCCTTTGCTATGTCCCGACACATCGCTCCTGAAGCAGCGTTGACCTCTGAGCAAGTGCGTTGAGGGACTCACCTTTGAGTGTTCGCTCGAACTCTGCTGAAGAATGGCGGGAACCCGTTGCCACGCCTCCGGATGCTCCTGGAACTGAGCAAGAACTTGTTGCGCCATACGTTGCTATGATAATGGTGTGAAACCCGACCAAGGATGAGCTTCCTGAGCTCCGTACCGACCATTGATCGCCGCGAAACGCCAGTGGCGTGGAGGGCACTCACGTCTTCACGGGCGCTGCCAAACATGGCGCCGACCACCCGGTCCAGCAGGCTAACATCAAGATCCTGGCTGAAATCGAGAATGCCCTGCAAACGAATTAGTGTTCAGCATGAATGTTGAAAAGGTCAGCACGTGTGCTAACGATAGGAAAGAGCCTCGGGCGGTGCCTCGACACTCACGTCCATGGTGCGTGGGTTGAGGCTCCAGCGGAGCTGTTAGAATCGAGGTGTAGCGCCTGCCTGGATGACAGATTGTTGGGGAACTCTTGCCCGACTCGTACTTCGATACGCGAAATTCTTGACGGAGCAGATCGTCAAGATGGCGTGCATGTGAGAGTGATTTGAGGATGAGGGTGTGCGAGAGTTGCATGTGCACGAGTCTGAGTGGAGATGGACAGGTGCTGCTGCTGGTATGAGCATGCACCTCGATGCGTGCGCGCGACGAGACGCGCCTGATGCTCGCGCTGAAATTGGTGCGGACGCTTTCGTACGAAAGAAACGTGACAGACCACGGATGTTCATGCATCCGGCTCACCATTCACGATTCGATTGGTGATTCGTGACTCATGTCGTGCTCACCTTCACAGACCTATGACTACCCACAATGTCACACGCCCCTACACGCCTCGGTCACACGCTTGTCTCAGGCGGCTCCCTGGGCGTTGTAGATGCCGAATTGCGCATGTCGTAGACTGAAATGCTAGGGAGCGAAGAACGACATCTTCGTCCCACGACCGACCATTAGCTTAGCGTTGTGGTGGCAACGGATAGGGCGAGGATGGAGCGGCGGCGGCCTGATGCGCCCTCAAGCCATAAACGCTCCCTCGATCGGTTCTGGGCGGTCTCGTCTCTGATAGAAAGCCCGCTTCATCAGGCTGCGGAGGGTGTGAATGCCTATCTCATCAATCTGATCAGACTGCTAGACCGCAGCGTTGGGTCCCAAAAACACAGATTGCCAATTCACACTCAATTCGTTCCCCCCCCCC